CGATGATGGCGATCCGAGCCACGCGGGCCGGCTGGCTCAATCAGGTGATCCGATCCGGTTGCATAAGTAGTTTTTTTTTTTTAATCTGAGGGCTTTTTGGTAAATTACCAACTTTATCCTACTTTTCAAAAATTTTATCCTATTTAGTATTTGTTAAACCAAACATGTGATAAAATTTATCCCATGATAAATTTTATCCAGTTATATCTTTATCACCCTATATCCTATCTCCCCATCCAAACGCCTCCATAGTGTATTCAATTTTAATTTGATACATTTTTACAATGTATGATACAAGAGTTCAAAAAATAATATGTATGTGACTAAGTGCCACACCCCAAAAATGAATATCGAGAGAAAATACTCAAGGATGCTAGGGTCTGGGTTAGATTAGGTTGAGTTGAGCTTTGCATTACCTATCATGGGAAAATAAGTGACTGTAATGGTTTTTAGTGGACATGCAACATGAAGTGTTTTGAATGCCTTGCAATTTTGTTTTAGTAATTATTCATAGGACATAGATAGAGGATAACAATTGATGATTATTGGTTAAGCTTATACATTGTATATAGATCCATAAAAACAATTTTATAAATATTTTTTATTGGTTAAGATTATTGGTTGTTGTACAGATCTATATTTCACACATTCTTTTTCAAGCTTATAGTTGAATACATTGAAAGAGTTATGCTTTAAACTAAACGGAGATGTGCTTGTAACTGAATGGATCTTTCCCTGTAATAGAACAGAATCTAGCCTGTAACCTAGCCAATTGATGACTGTTAGACTGTCGTCATATATGATTGTAATAGAACAGGACTATACTTGTAACTGAATAGATCTCTACTTGTAACTAAACAAGTCTTTCTTGCAACCAAAATAGTCATTCACTTTTTCACTTATGCTAAAATTGCTGAACAAATTGTAAATTTTGCTTGTAACTGAATGGGGCAATGCTTGTAACTGAACAGATCTTTACTTGTAACCAAAACAATCGTTCACATTTTCATTTATGCTAAAATTGTTGAACAAACTGTGTATTTTGCTTGTAACTGAATATGTCATTGCTTATAACTAAACGGATCTCTGCTTGTAACCAAAATAGTCGTTGACATTTTGACATACACTAAAATTGCTAAACAAACCATGTATTTTGCTTGTAATTAAACGGGGATATGCTTGTAATTAAATGGGTCTCTGCTTGTAATTTAATAGATCTCTGCTTGTAACCAAAACAATCGTTCACATTTTCACTTACGCTAAATTACTAAACAAACCATGTATTTTGCTTGTAACTGAAGGGGGATATGCTTGTAACTAAACAAATCTCTGCTTGTAACCAAGATAGTTATTCATATTTTCACTGACGCTAAAATTGTTGAATAAACCATGTATTTCGCTCATAACTGAATGGAACTATGCTCGTAACTGAACAGGACTATGCTCATAACTGAACGGGTCTTTGTTTGTAACCGAAACAATCATTCACGATTTCACTTACGCTAAAATTGATGAACTAACCTTGTATTTTGTTTGTAACTGAACAGAGCTATGCTTGTAACTGAATAAGACTATGCTTGAAACTAAATTGATCTCTGCTTGTAATCAAAACAATTATTAACATTTTGACTTATGATGAAATTGTTAAACAAACCGTGTATTTCGCTAGTAATTAGACAGGGCTATACTTGTAACTAAATGAGTCTCTGCTTGTAATTAACAGAACTTTGCTTGTAACCTATATAGTCATTCACATTTTGATTTATGCTAACTAAATAAAACTTTGCTTATAACTAGACGAAGTTCTCGCAACCCTTTAATTTTTTGCTTGTAATGAAACAAAGATTTGCTTGTAACTAATGAGTCTGTATTTGTAACTCAATGGAACTCTACACATAACCGAACTAGTCGATCACTTGATTCAATAAATGGAGGTATACTTGTAACTGAACAGAGATATGCTCATAACTAAAATGGTCCCCCTTGTTGAGCTAAATATTTAATTACAAAAAAAATTATTGCTGACCAATTTGTAATCTACAAAAGGGGGTCATAAATTAGTGACTCATTTTTGTAACTACTTGAGTTGGGTCACTAATTAGTGACCACAGCAAAAGGATCAATTGCTTAAGTAGTGACCTCAATAGTAACCACTTAAAGGAGGGTCACTAATTAGTAATCCTTTTTGTAACCACCAAAATCGGGGTTAGTAATTAGTGACCCATTTGTAATTGCTGTAATGGGGGTTACTAATTAGTGACCAACTATAAAGGCCCACGCCCAAATTTGTGACCCTCTCTGTGACCCACCAAGAGAGGGCACTAATTAGTGATCCATTTTGTAACTAACTCACATGCAGTCACTAATTAGTGACTTTTTTGTAACTAAAACTGTATCGGTCACTAATTTTGTAACTAATTTTTGACCGTAGTAACTGCGGTCACAAAATTGGTCATGAATTGGTTATTATTTTTTTAAAAAAAAAAATAAGCCTGAGTCGGTTACTCGTAAGTCACTAATCGATCACTAATTAGTGACCAATTCCTGCGGTCACTAATTTCCGATCACTAATTGTGTTTTTTCTGGTAGTGTAATACTCACAAAAATATACAACTCAAGCTGAACATGCATTTCTATATAAATCATAAATAATTTTCTTCTTTTTTATGGAAATAACCTAATAAATTTTTTAAACAAATTACATATAAAAAAAATATAAATATTATTATTATTTTTTTACTCAAATGAATAAAATAGCAATTAAATAATCTGTATTTAATATTAAAAATTGACTCAATAAATTAATCACTTTTATATTTATTAAATTAATATTAAATATTAATTTTAATACTCATTCAACATATTTTAAAATTGTTAAACTCCACGTCTACTAATTAAAAATTTAGCATCAAATAAATAATAAATAATCATCATTGCACGTTTTCCGTGATATTTAAATTGAAATTGTGAAATGACTGCAATTCAGAATTTGGGAGCCACTTGGAAGGACCTTTCACGTGAGACGCTTTTGCCACCATTAATCTCAGGCGTTATAAAACATACCAAACTAGTGTCCTTGCGTTGCTTTTGGTACTGGACTGTGCTTATGCCCCATCACCGACCAAGGAGGACCTCGTGCATTTTTATGCTATTTTTTATTTTTTTAAGCTCGATTAAAAGATCAAATTGAAATATTGATTCAATACATGCCTTTAATCCAAATTTTGTAAAATATCCAATTGGAAAATATTTTTTTAAATTTTTTTTTAACATGATTGAATAACAAATCACGAGCAAACAATCACCACATCAAGGAATATATTTGTCAGATCTTCACATCTATATATTGTAATCAAATAATCTATAACTCCGATGTCATTGTTGAAAATATATAACATAAATTGAATAACTCAAAAATTCAATAATTATATCAAATGTTCTTAGAAATTAAAGTGTAAAAAACAAGATACTGTTATTTTTCCTTAAAACCAAGGGGTATTCGGATAACTTAATGCACATATGAATGGGAATTGTTAATATATTATATAAAAAATGAGTTTATAGGGATATCTAAAATACGTATAAATATATTATTAAATTACAATTCTACCCATTATGAATTATATTATCCATTAGAGCTATTCTATCTATATAAATAAACTATATGATCAATGCAAATCTTGAACTATATGATTAATGCAAATCTCGAACTATATGATTAATGCAAATCTCCACAATTTTATAAAATAAGTGTATATCTATTAGAAATTAAATCCAACATATTTTGCCACTCACCACCGAGAGTAATTCAACTAACGTTGTACAATTAAGTAAAATACATGCAATTCATATCTTTTATTCTTTGTCTTAAAGCCAGTCAAGCTAATCCCAGTCCCAAGTAGGCTCATCTTCAATGCCGATATGCCAATTCTTGACGGTCTCGGGTTGAGGATTAGCAAGAGGGCTATTTATCTTCAATGTCATGAGGAGGATGAGATGGTGTTGCCTTGTTGACATGGGAGCTTGCTGTACATTTTCCATGGCCGGTGTTGCTGCAGATGGGCGTCTGTCAAATGCACGAACGCATTTATTTGAGTTTTTGTACACTCTGCACAAACTAAACTCCTTCCTCAACTGCAAAAATATACATAACAGATCAATAGCACAGTCAGAAATTTTTTTTAGTGAGTTTATAAGTAAGTGTTGGTATTAAGAATAAATATAATTGAATTATGGTCAAGAATTAAATAAATAATTAAAGTATTCAAAAATCATAAAAAAGTTTCGAATACTATTTTATTTTTTCCAATTTTTCTGAACAATCATTTTTTTAAATACATTATATTTTTGACTAATAGTTTCTTGATACAAGGAAATGAATCTAAGCAAAATATGACTTAATTCTTGCATGCATATTCTTTACATAGGTTATATGTTTTCCGTTACAGTTTTTTTGGTACATCCATTTTTTCTGCTTTTTAAAAATATTAAAATAACACAGGGATTATGCAGATATTAATGCTCAAAATTTCTTACTTAAGAGAGAATGACTATTTCTCAGTGAAGAACAGGTATTCTTTCAGGAATGACCCTGATCCGTTTATATTGTTCAAGTGGTGTCAAATTTAAAATTTAAATTGATTTAGTGTAGAATAGATTTAAATGATTGCCACCTAATAAATAATTAAATTATCGAAATAAAATATTCATTTCAAATGGATAAACTGGAGAATCCAATTTTAACGAATGTACATTTCTTAGTAAGGTCAAGTACAGCTTAACCCAAATAATAATGAATGTGCAAAGTTGTAGGGGCTGTTGGGTTTCTTCATTTTTGGCATAGGATTTGTTTCTTTCGTTTGTCTTCTGGATATATTTTTGGAATTCTTGAAGTGTAAAGTGTTAAAAAATGTGCATATTTAATTCCAAAATCTTCATACTAATGTATAGGAAAGGAGACCTACTTTTACTCCATGTCAAAATTCCATCTAATGGGTATGTCATGGCCTAGAGTTTTCACCTTTTATGTAATATACACTGGATTAAATTGAAAAATGAAAAAAAAAAAAAAAAGGAAATTAAACACTCAAACAAGTAAGTTTGGGAGAGGAATGCCCTACCAGTTCAGTTCCATAAATCCAGAAGTATGCAAATGTTTCAACCAAATTCACAAGACTTACTAATGTTGCAGGATTTAGGAAGAGTCAATTATAGACCTGCAACCCCACTTCCCATATTGATATTTGTTTATATTTTTTGAATTCATAACACTCATGTTCAACCTTAACTGTCTCTCTTGATTATATACCGAATGGTCAACCTCAATAATCTGTAGCTGATGGGAATTGGTATTTTCTGTTAAAAAGAGAAAGAAGAATAGGAAGAGGAAGAAAAAAAGCAAAGAAAGAAAAAAAGTAAGCAGCAAAATCACATACAAACCTTCAGAACTACACCTCTAGGATCTACCTCAATAGCCCTGTACTCATTCATCTTCCATTCCGTTTTTCGTCCAGTGGGGAATCTTCCTAAGTAGAAAACCATGTCTCTTTTTATGCCGATGGCTCGGTTATCTAAGGAGTAAACATATCTCCGAGAACCTGCGGCTTTCCAGTACCCTGCAGGGGTGAGACGGGTTGGTCTTCTACCCATGAGTTCTCTCTCCAGCCTTGGAATAAAAAAAAACCATTGCTCTGGGTCATTACGACACCGTTCTCCAGCAAGCTCTATTGAACAATATTACCATGGATTCAACATAAAATCAAACTAATTTCTGAAAATTGGAAATTGAACACTAATTTCTAGAAACCCAGTTACGGAAATTTCAACTTACGAGGGAGATCGGAAGGATTGAATTCGTAGATGCAAAGGACTGGAATCACCGAGTCAAGGTCTTGTCTGTTTCCATGTAGCTTGTTGTGGAGGTAGAACGATATTAGCTCTTCCTCTGTTGGGTAGAACCGAAAACCCGGCGCGCGCTCCATTTGCTTTTGTGTTTCTTCTTGTTCTCCTCCTCTCTCAGAAAATAGATATTTTCTTTCTTCACCTCTTCAATATATGTACAAGTATTCTGACCAGCCAGCTAGTCGGTCATCTCAACTAACTGCGGAAACTTATTTTTATTAAAATTATATATAAAATACTAAACAGTAACATGTAGCTTAAAATATTCAAAAACGCTTACATAATCAGTAAGGAAAGGTAAATTTTTTAAATTAAGTTCACTTCTTTTTAAAGTTATTTTACGTACACGGTGGTATTAAATTAGGCATGAGAGACTACGCAAGCCGCGGCTACGTAGAAACACCCAACCAGCTATAAAAGAAACTTCTAACCCTTTCTACGCTTGTTATGAAAGTTGTTGAACTTCTTTTGCTGGATTTCATTCATCTTCATTCTTGATCTGAATACGTGTAAGAAAGTCGCCTGTCACGAGCAACACTTTTGTTAGAACTTTCTTATTTTCCTTTTCAATATTTAATTTGTTGTCAAAATATATATTACTATTTAATGTGAATTAATCAATTAAATCATTTATTTCTGATCTATTCTATTCGACCATATAGAATTTTACACACTTGCCTTTCGGCCCACATTCTTTTCTTCAATTTTTATTTTCCACTTGTATTTGGTTCCACTTAACTTAAAAAAAAAAAAAAAAAAAAAAGAAAGCTTAGACACAATAGAATTGAAACTTAAATGTTAAAAATTTTAAATGTTGAATTTTTTATATCAAAATAGTTTAATTTTTCATAATTGATAATAGAAATAATTTACATATCTTGGATTACTTTTATTATTCAATAATAATAAGTGAATTTTATTTTTATTCAAAATTTAAATATATTTTAAATTACTTTCTAGATTTAATATTTGAATACATTAAATTTTAAATATTAAATCTTATTGCTGCTTGTGTTCTTGTGATATTCTACTCCATATCAATTTCTAAGAATATTATGGTATAGTATGTAAAAGACTAGATACTATTATTAAACAATTTGAGTTTAAACATCTTCTCCAGTGGTTCAGACTCTACAAATTGTTAGATTAGTAATTCTTGAGTCATTACAAATGATATTAGAGTAAAATGACATTCAAACCTATTCTATTTGGATACGAATGCAAATTTGTAACTTGATTAGAACGTTAAACGTCTAAGTGATAAAAATTGTGATACCCGTCCTACATGGATTTCTAATAATAATATGATATAATATAAAAGAAAATAGATATTACTACTGAACAACTGAATTTAAACATTTTAGGTCAGTGGCTCAGACTTAACAAATTATTAGGTTTAATAGCTCTCGAGTCGTTATAACTCTGTTTTTCAAAATGGGCAACATTAAGATTTTTTTTCTGTCATAGTTGGAAATACCTTTTCATGGTTAGGTTCCCACATTCTAATTTAAAAATAAAACAAATTGATTATATTATAAATAAATGCTTCATATCATTTTAAAATAATTTATTTTAAAATTTTAATTCAATAATATGAAATTTAAAGCACTTATTTCAAAGTAAAGAAATTCAAATTTTCCTTATTACTCCTGGATGAAATATAACAATCTATCGTAACTCATGTCCTCATGCCTCCAATAGACATGACAAATGGCAGATATAATGCTTAACTCAATAAACACATATCACAAGTGTATTTATAAACATTTATAAGATTAGGATGAAGATTTTTATCTCTATTTATAGTTATTTTGGTTGTATATAGTCTGATAAAATTTTGGTGAAGAAATGAGAATCAGTATTTTATTTTTAAAAAAATATGTTAGGTGGGTCATTTGGAATTAAAATTCTCAATTCTTAGGTAATCAAGATTCTATCAAATAGATAATCTAGATACCAATAGCAGAGTGACAAAATGGGACAACTTGAATTCCATCATCTAACTTTATAATGACCATATTACCCTCTATTTTTTAATAAATGACAAAATTATCCTACCAAAATTAAAATGTTTATAATATGATATATAATCTAATATAATATATTCTATAGATTATATATATGATATTATAATACATTAAGTTATAATGTAAACTATATATATATGTGTGTGTGTGTGCGTGTGTGTGTGTGTGTGTGTGTAACTATGAAATTTAATATTTTAAGGTTAGATTATAAAATTTTTAACATTTAAAATTTTAAATATCTTTAAATATATTAGAAATTAAAACTTATTTAATTTTAAAATTTTCTAATCAAGAGTATTTTTTTTTCCCGACTTCTATTCTAGGTAGACTAAATATAATGATAGAATAGAAAATTTTTTTCCATTAGTGTGTATAGTATACTCGTATGAATCTTTATTTCAATCTGTTATCCTCCCAATTTCCATTTCCATTCCTATTTACTCTATCCAACCATATGCCTTCCTAATTTCTTATTTTTAATGATGAGATTCACATATACTTATCTCAATCCTATATTTAACAAATTGAATAATATTTCTTTCCATATTTCTTAAAAGTTAGAAAATACCAAATTTCTATTTAGCTCTTTATTTATCAGTATCTAATTATTATTTTTTACATATAAATAATTACTTAAAATATTAAATTAGTATAATTTGGATATACTTTTTGCATATTCTTATATATTAATTTAGAGTTACTAATAATATAAGTTTAACATATTATTTATAATTTAATCTTATAATTTTATATAATTATTTTCTCACATTTATTAATTTTATATTATTCTTATAAGTTCTCTTCTTTTTAAATTTATCTTGCCTACAAGGTGATATTAGACTAAGAGCACTGACAGATCCATATATATTGAAGGGGGCACTTCAATTTAAACAATTTGTAATAACATAAAATAATTAGTATATAAGTATAATTTTTGCCCCCAAGAAAAAATTTTAGTACTTTTTTGGGAGAATGACTTATATGAATAAATTAAAATTTACAAATAAAAATAAAATAATAAAAAATTAAGAGGAGCAATTTTAAGTTTATAATAAAATAACAACAATGCTTAAAGATTGTTTTAAAAATTTATAGGAACTAAAATATAAATTATAAAATAATTATACAAAATGGTAACAATTCCCCTATATCCTTCTAAGTCTATTGGTGTCTCTATCTCTTTGACTTCTTATAAGTATCTTTTTCTATTACAAGTGAACTTACCAAAAGTAAAATTAAAGTGACTTTATCCTATTTTTAATCTAGATTTTCTAATGCTAGAAAAAATAAGTGATATTTCAATTTTTATTTTTCGTAGAAATGTAGAAGGCTACAATTTTTTGACTTCTTAGTATTTCAATTATAATTATGTTTTACTAGTGATAGATTTTATTAAATTTCTAGTTTTGTGAGACGGGCTGGCTTATGTATATATAATGATATATACTTTTAGGATGTTCTCTAAATGATTGAATTCAAAAATAAAAAAGGAAAGGTATTTGGAATTGAGAAAAATATGGTCTTCTTTGAGAATTATTTGTAAAAAATGGTCATTTTATCCTCTTAAACTTTCTTCCATCTTAATTATTTTCCTAAACTTTACAATATATCATTTAACACTCTGAACACTAAGACTATTAACCCATTGTTATATTTATCTCATAAATTTTCCAATCTTAACTATTAAATATTTTAAAATTACTATTAGAACAGTTAATTATTAAAATTTAAAAATTTAAGATAATATGTTATAATTGATAATAAATATTATTAGATATATTTAATCTTAGATATTAAATTAATACATAGTTAAATTTTAAAAATTTAATTTAGAATATTTGCACAGGCTAACTAAATAAAAAGTGGTCAATTATGAATAAATAATTCTTATAATTTGAAACTTAACCATTTATATTTTCTATTTGTTACATAATAATATCAAAAAATTAAACTTTTGTCATGCATAAACAAAAATAAATGATGTAATTAGAATATAGGAGTTGTAACATGATTAAGTTTCAAATTATGGTACTTGAAAATTTTCTATTAAATTCAAATTATTTATTCATAATTGGCAATTTTTTCTTTTGTTACGTTGCACAAAGTGTTCAAATTTATTTGGTAAAATTTAATTATATATTAATTTAGTATATAAAATTAAATATATTTAATAATATTTGTTATCAATTATATCATATTAACTTAAATTTTTAAAACTTTAACAATTAATAATTTTAATAGTGTCATGATCCAAAATCAGGCATATGACTGGTACTAAGGATGAATTATCAACTGTAGTAAGTCTCGAACAAAATAAACAACTATAAATTTAAACATATCTAGTATAAAAATTTAACTATATGCATGCAAAAAGATTATGTCTGAAAAGTAAATTGAGCACTCTGGACTACAAACTATTATATATACATAACACCATCTGCATGTATAATGGAGCTTATTAGGAAAATATGCGCTTGCTCAGTAGTGTAAACGAGAAGGAGATTTAGTGTGATGATTTGAAAAATGTTAAACAAGGGGTAAGTATAAAATTCAATGAATAATAATACAAACTTTAGTCATACTGAAACATTCATCATAAAACATGCAAAATATGTATGTATAATCAAGACAATGAGTAGATTATGTATATCACTAAAAGTCATAGTATGTGCCTTGTTAATTTGAAAATACAATTTTTCAAAAATAACTGAGTTTTAAAAATGCAAAACAAATGGGAGTATCAAATCATATCGTGTCTTATCTCAACGACAAAACGTATCATGTCAGATGTATCACATATCACATCATTGTATATCATCTCAATGACAGAGCATATTATTTCAGAGTGTCACGACCGAAAGTTGGATCATGACTAGTGCTAGGGTTAAGATAGACTCTAACCTTGTAAGCCTTTCGGATGCGGAAGCTACTAAATAATTTAAAAGCAATAAAGCCAAATATAATATAAATTCTAAAATATAAGCATGTCTTTACATCAGAAAGGCCTGTCTGTGATCAATAAAGTTGACTAAAAACAAATTAACAAAATCAAACAGAAATGGAGAACAAGACTAACTACTACAATCCAGAATCAAAGTATCAGGAACAACAGACTCATCTCAAGCGGCAGAATTCGTCGGGTGAGTTGAACCTAAATCTGAAAAATAAAAGAAATGAGTTTATCGACCTAATGAATAATAATATGTATTTACGTAAATAAGGGAC